GAGACTACAAATCATAATGTGATGTAAGTTAATGTGTATGTGACGTCATGGTGATGCTGCACCACATTGTATGTGAATGTTACGTCACAGTATTATCTGTACCTGTAAGAGTTAAGGACTGTTACATCACAGTATTATCTGTACCTGCAAGAGTTAAGGACTGTTACGTCACAGTATTATCTGTACCTGTAAGAGGTAAGGACTGTTACATCACAGTATTATCTGTACCTGCAAGAGTTAAGGACTGTTACATCACAGTATTATCTGTACCTGTAAGAGGTAAGGACTGTTACGTCACAGTATTATCTGTACCTGCAAGAGTTAAGGACTGTTACGTCACAGTATTATCTGTACCGGCAAGAGTTAAGGACTGTTACGTCACAGTATTATCTGTACCTGCAAGAGTTAAGGACTGTTACGTCACAGTATTATCTGTACCTGCAAGAGTTAAGAGTGTTACGTCACAGTATTATCTGTACCTGCAAGAGTTAAGGACTGTTACGTCACAGTATTATCTGTACCTGTAAGAGGTAAGGACTGTTACGTCACAGTATTATCTGTACCTGTAAGAGTTAAGGACTGTTACGTCACAGTATTATCTGTACCTGTAAGAGTTAAGGACTGTTACGTCACAGTATTATCTGTACCTGCAAGAGGTAAGGACTGTTACGTCACAGTATTATCTGTACCTGCAAGAGTTAAGGACTGTTACGTCACAGTATTATCTGTACCTGCAAGAGTTAAGGACTGTTACGTCACAGTATTATCTGTACCTGCAAGAGTTAAGGATTGTTACGTCACAGTATTATCTGTACCTGTAAGAGTTAAGGACTGTTACGTCACAGTATTATCTGTACCTGTAAGAGTTAAGGACTGTTACGTCACAGTATTATCTGTACCTGTAAGAGTTAAGGACTGTTACGTCACAGTATTATCTGTACCTGTAAGAGTTAAGGACTGTTACGTCACAGTATTATCTGTACCTGCAAGAGTTAAGGACTGTTACGTCACAGTATTATCTGTACCTGCAAGAGTTAAGGACTGTTACGTCACAGTATTATCTGTACCTGCAAGAGTTAAGGATTGTTAGGTCACAGTATTATCTGTACCTGTAAGAGTTAAGGACTGTTACGTCACAGTATTATCTGTACCTGTAAGAGTTAAGGACTGTTACGTCACAGTATTATCTGTACCTGTAAGAGTTAAGGACTGTTACGTCACAGTATTATCTGTACCTGCAAGAGTTAAGGACTGTTACGTCACAGTATTATCTGTACCTGTAAGAGTTAAGGACTGTTACGTCACAGTATTATCTGTACCTGTAAGAGTTAAGGACTGTTACGTCACAGTATTATCTGTACCTGCAAGAGTTAAGGACTGTTACGCGTCACAGTATTATCTGTACCTGTAAGAGTTAAGGACTGTTACGTCACAGTATTATCTGTACCTGTAAGAGTTAAGGACTGTTACGTCACAGTATTATCTGTACCTGTAAGAGTTAAGGACTGTTATGTCACAGTATTATCTGTACCTGTAAGAGTTAAGGACTGTTACGTCACAGTATTATCTGTACCTGTAAGAGTTAAGGACTGTTACGTCACAGTATTATCTGTACCTGCAAGAGTTAAGGACTGTTACGTCACAGTATTATCTGTACCTGTAAGAGGTAAGGACTGTTACATCACAGTATTATCTGTACCTGTAAGTGTTAAGGACTGTTACGTCACAGTATTATCTGTACCTGTAAGAGTTAAGGACTGTTACGTCACAGTATTATCTGTACCTGTAAGAGTTAAGGACTGTTACGTCACAGTATTATCTGTAAGAGTTAAGGACTGTTACGTCACAGTATTATCTGTACCTGCAAGAGTTAAGGACTGTTACGTCACAGTATTATCTGTACCTGTAAGAGTTAAGGACTGTTACGTCACAGTATTATCTGTACCTGTAAGAGTTAAGGACTGTTACGTCACAGTATTATCTGTACCTGCAAGAGGTAAGGACTGTTACGTCACAGTATTATCTGTACCTGTAAGAGTTAAGGACTGTTACGTCACAGTATTATCTGTACCTGTAAGAGTTAAGGACTGTTATGTCACAGTATTATCTGTACCTGTAAGAGTTAAGGACTGTTACGTCACAGTATTATCTGTACCTGTAAGAGTTAAGGACTGTTACGTCACAGTATTATCTGTACCTGCAAGAGTTAAGGACTGTTACGTCACAGTATTATCTGTACCTGTAAGAGTTAAGGACTGTTACATCACAGTATTATCTGTACCTGTAAGTGTTAAGGACTGTTACGTCACAGTATTATCTGTACCTGTAAGAGTTAAGGACTGTTACGTCACAGTATTATCTGTACCTGTAAGAGTTAAGGACTGTTACGTCACAGTATTATCTGTACCTGTAAGATGGGCACAATGTGTTAAGCCCATTTCCAGTGTCCCCCGCCGTGATATTGCTGGAATATTGCTAAAAGCGGCGTAAAACTAAACTCAGTCAGTCAGTCAGTACCTGTAAGAGTTAAGGACTGTTACATCACAGTATTATCTGTACCTGTAAGAGTTAAGGACCACAAGGTGGTCATGTCGCCATGATCAAACTGTCATGGCATGACAGATTCTTCAACTGTTTCTTAACAAATACATGTAAACAAACCAGTGGTTGATAGCAATGGTTCAACTGCGGTACACATAATCTACCTTAATGTCACCCCCTGTAATGTGACCTGCCACCTCCAAGCTGACTTGATGCAATGTCTATATTCCCATTTCAGGTGCTATGCTGTTAAAGAGCTTCGTACAGTTTGACAAGCAAAAATTCTATTTAAAAGGTATTGAGTTAGAAAATGAGGAACATGATGTGATTGTTTTTGAACTTGATGTTCCCAAAGGACATCAGCTGCCTCCACCTTTGCCTCTGATGTCACGTGACCAACACGTGACCAACAAAGTGACCATCCTAGGCTTTGATGGATATGGGAAGAAAGTTGTCGACAATAACTGCCCAACAATTCAAGTGTCAGAAAAAGAATGCAGAATGGCGAGACAAGATCTGCAAAAGATGGGCTTCCGTGCCAATTGGTACAATGGTAATAGGTACAGTGGTGACTGGTACAATGACCTAGCCCACCCTCACCTTCTGCCTCTGAAAACCCACTTGGCACACGGTGCATCTGGCTCTCCTGTGGTTGTACAATACGAGGGGAAGCCATTGGTCATTGCAATGTTCATCAAGGGGTATCCAGAGTTTTACTGGGACCTTGATGATACATACAAACGACGCATTGATGAAAAGTTCATCATCAAAGCAGCAGTAAAGCTCAGCACGATCGGTAAGTACATAACATGTTTGACTTTGTTTCAGTCATAGCTAATGTCTAAGAATGCCAGCCATAATACTGCATGTAAATCTTGTGTTCCAAAACTGATTTCATGTATTGGGCTCTTGCAATATTTAGTCCATGAAACAGATCCAGTGACAACATCTCAGGATGTACTGATGCAACAACTTCCTGCCAAATAACTGCAATCAAATTATAATCTTGACTTCTTGTTTGCTTTGTGGTAAATAAATGCAGTAACAACCACCATGGTATAGATCAGCCTACCATGATTACAATTCCAGAAATCATGATTTAAAACAAGAAATTTTACAGAAAGAAAACCAAGACATTATCCAAGAAATATTCACAGAGCATGTTCTAAATGACTTTCAAAATGATAAAATTTTCATGTTATAATACATGATAATCTCAACAAGCAGTTCATCTTCTCATAAACCACATGGATGACATCACTGATGACATGGATTGGTCAGAAACACCTGAAGCCATGGATACTTCATAAGAAACAGTCTTGGAGAAAAGTGAGCCATAAACGTTTTTGAATACACAATGCATTCGAGAAAGAGGTCAAATGTAACCTATGTTATATGAAGAATTACACCTGCATAGTAAAGTACACATTCAGGCTTTGAACCCATTCTCTCTGTGTCAGGCACCTAATTACCATTACAAGTACAGAACGTCAACAAGAAAAAGGAACTAGAATCTGAGAAAGTGTAATCCCCAAACTATCATATATTACATCTGAATACTTTCTAAAAGGCACAGGTTATTCATAGCTTTTGGCGATGGGAGTCATGCCAGTTTACACTTGTCAGAGGGGTACACAAAGTATGTGAACTTGACTACCAGTTGTCAGACTTCCACTTAACCAAAGTAATGGTGGCTGAAGTGGGTTAGATTGCTCACTGTATGTGCTGGCCAATAGGTGCCTTACTCTGATAGTGTGGGTTAGAATTAAATACATATATTGTAATTTACCTGTATACCGATATATAATTACATCCATATTGTTTTCCTTACACAGAGAAAAGAGGCTGGACTGACGCTGATCAGGAGTGAAGGAAAGGAAGAGAGTTGTTATAGGGACTAATTCAGGACAGCCATCATCCAAAAATTTAAAAACTAAAAACTATGTACTCAAGACATGTGAGACTTTATTGTAATTATTTATATGATGCTAATCTGTATTCTATGCAATCCTTATCACTTCTGCATTGTACATTGACTTGTCAGGCAATTAATTACTGTATATGACATTTACAACCTTTATTGGTCATTCCCCTTGGCCGTGCCTGCCATCACATCAACTGGTCAAGGAAGTGCTATTGTTTCTCTATCTGTCCGTTGTTGAGTCGTCGCCTGTCCATTGTTGTCAAAAACTGTACATATACTTAGTATGCTCACATCTATACGGTGAAGGAGGATGAGTCCAGTATTCCGACTGGTTGTGTAGGGACGACCGCGAGCGGGATAATGCTGCTCGTTGGAAACGCCATGGGGTTGAGCAGGTACTCCGCTCACCTCACTTATGTCTTGTGTATTTGTTTGTCATGTACCTAAAGAAGTTTGAACTCAACTATGCCTTCGTCTTCATCACACACATCATCTTAACATGAGCTAATTCCCCAGTCGACACATATCCACGCGTTGACAGAGTCATCAACTGTTTTTCTTTAATGAAAACATCATATTGAAAAAAATTGTATAGTTATAATACTTATCCTAACTCACAGTTTGTACTCTTTCTCTCATGATCATCACCAACATCTGCTGGGACAAGGTGCAAGTGGAAGACAAGCCACTGACACACTACCACCCTTAGGGACAGTCACAAACATCAGGAGATGAGAAACAGACTAGGCAAGAATACAGACGATAAGCCAGAATGGACATTGTAATAATGTCATCAGTCTGTTTCTAAACACAAACACGCCAAGTAAGAAGCATGATCTGCACACAAGATGAGGCATCAGTGTTGCATCACTGCTGAACATGATGCAGAGAACAGAAGGGTAAGCACTGCACATCTTACATGTGTAACAAAACACAGGTAACATAGCTTCAGAACTGGGACCTGTTCCACAAGGCATTACAGTGACTGTCATTAGTCTCCACTGGAGTAAGGGTAAATGTAGACAAACTACATGTCAGATCATGGGCAAATGGCTGGCTCACCAGTGATGACTAAAGGCTACAGGTACTGCCATACAGCGCTCGGCACTAACAATTCTGTATCGTTCAAATGTTTTTGAAGTTGGTTAACCAGTTACTGAGACAAATATGAATATAAGAGTCGTCAGAAGATGACAAACCCCACCACCCCAACCCCCCACCCCATAAACTTGAAAGAACAAATAATATGACAGTTACCTAAAGTCCAACTTGATCTGTCAGTCTGTATACAAGAGTGGATATTGAGCTATCAAAACAATAACATGGAACTGGGATTTTAAACTCCGTTATTCTATGTCAGGTACACACAAGTATCAGAGTCAAAGGAAAAAATACCAAATTTTTAAAATCCCTAATAGCAAAATGCAGCAGTCCGCAACCTATTTTTGTTTGTGCACAGTTTCATGAAAGAATACCTGATATTCTTTCAAAGAACACCACTATGAACACAGTCTAGGCACTGAGCTTAACAACACCATGCCTTGCTGCTGCCATGAGATGAAGAGGCACCACTGTCAAATATCAAGTTGTCTTATAACCAGGGAGATAGTTAACTTTTTTATGTGGATTGAGATGTGGATTCAGATGATAGCATCTGCATCTTCTGTTAAGTAAACTCCATCCTAGAGAGAGTGAAGGGCTTGTGACTTTCATGTTTTACCAAGTGAGTGGTTCTAGACTCATTCTCTTTTCAACCCAGATACCAAAACTTGAGATGTAAGATTTTATCTGCTTTCAGATTATCTACAACGGTGGACTCCATTGAATGACCAGTCAGTTGGCCTCCTACACCTTCCAACATATACAGGAACAGCCTTCAGAGTGTTTGAGCAGTGTGTGATGACAGCTTGGCACCTATTTACCACAAACCAGTACCAGTTTCATGGCAATCTAAGTAAGTTTTCATGCTGTTAATGTCCTACCATTTTATACGTGGGCTGGCACAAGGTGGCACAAATCACCGAAACACAAATGACATCAGATGAATACCATGTGATGTGTGGCAGTACAGAAACAGTGACTGCCCAATACCATGACCCACAAAACCTCGCCTTCCATTGCAGGGGCAAACTACCATGGAAACAGCAGACTGAGTACTTTATCATAACCTTATATAATGTCAATGCATTTTGTGTGTATATATAAGGATTAAAAAGAAATGCACAAAATAATGACTATAAGAGTTTCTCTCCTATGTACTTCACCTTCATCTTCAGGGAGAGACTACAGATCATAATGTGAATGTGTATGTGATGTCATGGTGATGCTGCACCACAGTGTATGTGAATGTTACGTCACAGTATTATCTGTACCTGCAAGAGTTAAGGACTGTTACGTCACAGTATTATCTGTACCTGCAAGAGGTAAGGACTGTTACGTCACAGTATTATCTGTACCTGCAAGAGGTAAGGACTGTTACATCACAGTATTATCTGTACCTGTAAGAGTTAAGGACTGTTACGTCACAGTATTATCTGTACCTACAAGAGGTAAGGACTGTTACGTCACAGTATTACCTGTACCTGCAAGAGGTAAGGACTGTTACGTCACAGTATTATCTGTACCTGCAAGAGTTAAGGACTGTTACGTCACAGTATTATCTGTACCTGCAAGAGTTAAGGACTGTTACGTCACAGTATTATCTGTACCTGCAAGAGTTAAGGACTGTTACGTCACAGTATTATCTGTACCTGCAAGAGTTAAGGACTGTTACGTCACAGTATTATCTGTACCTGCAAGAGTTAAGGACTGTTACGTCACAGTATTATCTGTACCTGTAAGAGTTAAGGACTGTTACGTCACAGTATTATCTGTACCTGTAAGAGTTAAGGACTGTTACGTCGCAGTATTATCTGTACCTGTAAGAGTTAAGGACTGTTACGTCATAGTATTATCTGTACCTGCAAGAGTTAAGGACTGTTACGTCACAGTATTATCTGTACCTGCAAGAGTTAAGGACTGTTACGTCACAGTATTATCTGTACCTGCAAGAGTTAAGGACTGTTACGTCACAGTATTATCTGTACCTGCAAGAGTTAAGGACTGTTACGTCACAGTATTATCTGTACCTGCAAGAGTTAAAGGTCACATGCAACCAAAAAATCAAACATAATTAAAACACAATTATCACTTCTTCATGACATATAATATGCATTGCTGATCATGAAAAAACAAATAAACAAAATTATAAGCGTATAATCGCAGATCAAAAGTGCAATATTTTGTACTTGGGTTTACCTCCCTCGAAACGAAGCAGCCGGGATACCGAACCCAGTCAGAGCGGGTGGGTGTGCACTCAAGTGTAACGGCTGGTTCATTAGCAGATGCCGTCTGCACGGCTCATTGTGTGTGTATATATAGAGATGTTGGGTTTTGTAAATACATGCTCATTTTTTGTGTATAACATTTTGCAATCAACAGACATCATAACATGTCATGTGTTCAAGTATCACACCTGCCTGTCTGTGTAATTACATAATGTGACAGAGACCGAACTCGGGCCATAAATCAATGCGTTTTGTTTATGGTGTATAGCCTGATTGGTGTAAAGTTCAAATTGCATGTGGCCAGTGATCGCAGTTGTGTATTGAATATTGTCATTAGCAGACAGGCAGGCAGACACACAGGTGTCAATAAAACAAGACATTGAGTTTTGTCTGTGACAGCGACATATCTATATCACAGTTAGAAATTGTGTCAACGCTAAATAATGACATTGCTTTTAAGTATCGAACTGAGAAAGTGACTCGGTAAGAAGAACGTGTGGTGAAATAGACAAATGAAATTATATAAACAGTTTATTTACTGTCATAACATATAAAAAGCTCGCCTGCCTGTGAGATATCAACAAAACATTATGAAAATAGCTCACACCAAAGCCTTCACCGAGTATTCACCAGACAGCCCGCTTCCAAGTTGCGCGAACCTATTTCACTGCGCATGTGCTATGAGCGCAGTCCAGCTGTTGAAACCCGTATTCCCCAGAAAAGTCTGGGGAAAATTAGTGAAACGTTTGAATTCCGATTTCACGCGTTTTTTTTCATCGCGTTATTTTTCAACTTTATAAGTTGAATTTGCATTTTTGACGCTTTGTTTCGGTAAGTCCATAACGAAAGGTATCAGAATCTGCAAAGTTGTGTTTTACATTGCATGTGACCTTTAAGGACTGTTACGTCACAGTATTATCTGTACCTGCAAGAGGTAAGGACTGTTACGTCACAGTATTATCTGTACCTGTAAGAGTTAAGGACTGTTACGTCACAGTATTATCTGTACCTGCAAGAGTTAAGGACTGTTACGTCACAGTATTATCTGTACCTGTAAGAGTTAAGGACTGTTACGTCACAGTATTATCTGTACCTGCAAGAGTTAAGGACTGTTACATCACAGTATTATCTGTACCTGCAAGAGTTAAGGACTGTTACGTCACAGTATTATCTGTACCTGCAAGAGTTAAGGACTGTTACATCACAGTATTATCTGTACCTGTAAGAGTTAAGGACTGTTACGTCACAGTATTATCTGTACCTGCAAGAGTTAAGGACTGTTACGTCACAGTATTATCTGTGTAAGAGTTAAGGACTGTTACGTCACAGTATTATCTGTACCTGCAAGAGTTAAGGACTGTTACGTCACAGTATTATCTGTACCTGTAAGAGTTAAGGACTGTTACGTCACAGTATTATCTGTACCTGCAAGAGTTAAGGACTGTTACGTCACAGTATTATCTGTACCTGCAAGAGTTAAGGACTGTTACGTCACAGTATTATCTGTACCTGCAAGAATTAAGGACTGTTACGTCAGTATTATCTGTACCTGTAAGAGTTAAGGACTGTTACGTCACAGTATTATCTGTACCTGTAAGAGTTAAGGACTGTTACGTCACAGTATTATCTGTACCTGCAAGAGTTAAGGACTGTTACATCACAGTATTATCTGTACCTGCAAGAGTTAAGGAATGTTACGTCACAGTATTATCTGTACCTGTAAGAGTTAAGGACTGTTACGTCACAGTATTATCTGTACCTGCAAGAGTTAAGGACTGTTACATCACAGTATTATCTGTACCTGTAAGAGTTAAGGACTGTTACGTCACAGTATTATCTGTACCTGCAAGAGTTAAGGACTGTTACGTCACAGTATTATCTGTAAGAGTTAAGGACTGTTACGTCACAGTATTATCTGTACCTGCAAGAGTTAAGGACTGTTACGTCACAGTATTATCTGTACCTGTAAGAGTTAAGGACTGTTACGTCACAGTATTATCTGTACCTGCAAGAGTTAAGGACTGTTACATCACAGTATTATCTGTACCTGTAAGAGTTAAGGACTGTTACGTCACAGTATTATCTGTACCTGCAAGAGTTAAGGACTGTTACGTCACAGTATTATCTGTAAGAGTTAAGGACTGTTACGTCACAGTATTATCTGTACCTGCAAGAGTTAAGGACTGTTACGTCACAGTATTATCTGTACCTGTAAGAGTTAAGGACTGTTACGTCACAGTATTATCTGTACCTGCAAGAGTTAAGGACTGTTACGTCACAGTATTATCTGTACCTGCAAGAGTTAAGGACTGTTACGTCACAGTATTATCTGTACCTGCAAGAATTAAGGACTGTTACGTCAGTATTATCTGTACCTGTAAGAGTTAAGGACTGTTACGTCACAGTATTATCTGTACCTGTAAGAGTTAAGGACTGTTACGTCACAGTATTATCTGTACCTGCAAGAGTTAAGGACTGTTACATCACAGTATTATCTGTACCTGCAAGAGTTAAGGAATGTTACGTCACAGTATTATCTGTACCTGTAAGAGTTAAGGACTGTTACGTCACAGTATTATCTGTACCTGTAAGAGTTAAGGACTGTTACGTCACAGTATTATCTGTACCTGCAAGAGTTAAGGACTGTTACGTCGCAGTATTATCTGTACCTGCAAGAGTTAAGGACTGTTACATCACAGTATTATCTGTACCTGCAAGAGTTAAGGACTGTTACGTCACAGTATTATCTGTACCTGCAAGAGTTAAGGACTGTTACGTCACAGTATTATCTGTACCTGTAAGAGTTAAGGACTGTTACGTCACAGTATTATTTGTACCTGTAAGAGTTAAGGACTGTTACGTCACAGTATTATCTGTACCTGTAAGAGTTAAGGACTGTTACGTCACAGTATTATCTGTACCTGCAAGAGTTAAGGACTGTTACGTCACAGTATTATCTGTACCTGCAAGAGTTAAGGACTGTTACGTCACAGTATTATCTGTACCTGTAAGAGTTAAGGACTGTTACGTCACATTATTATCTGTACCTGTAAGAGTTAAGGACTGTTACGTCACAGTATTATCTGTACCTGCAAGAGTTAAGGGCTGTTACGTCATAGTATTATCTGTACCTGCAAGAGTTAAGGACTGTTACGTCACAGTATTATCTGTACCTGCAAGAGTTAAGGACTGTTACGTCACAGTATTATCTGTACCTGTAAGAGTAAGGACTGTTACGTCACAGTATTATCTGTACCTGCAAGAGTTAAGGACTGTTACATCACAGTATTATCTGTACCTGCAAGAGTTAAAGGTCACATGCAACCAAAAAATCAAACATAATTAAAACACAATTATCACTTCTTCATGACATATAATATGCATTGCTGATCATGAAAAAACAAATAAACAAAATTATAAGCGTATAATCGCAGATCAAAAGTGCAATATTTTGTACTTGGGTTTACCTCCCTCGAAACGAAGCAGCCGGGATACCGAACCCAGTCAGAGCGGGTGGGTGTGCACTCAAGTGTAACGGCTGGTTCATTAGCAGATGCCGTCTGCACGGCTCATTGTGTGTGTATATATAGAGATGTTGGGTTTTGTAAATACATGCTCATTTTTTGTGTATAACATTTTGCAATCAACAGACATCATAACATGTCATGTGTTCAAGTATCACACCTGCCTGTCTGTGTAATTACATAATGTGACAGAGACCGAACTCGGGCCATAAATCAATGCGTTTTGTTTATGGTGTATAGCCTGATTGGTGTAAAGTTCAAATTGCATGTGGCCAGTGATCGCAGTTGTGTATTGAATATTGTCATTAGCAGACAGGCAGGCAGACACACAGGTGTCAATAAAACAAGACATTGAGTTTTGTCTGTGACAGCGACATATCTATATCACAGTTAGAAATTGTGTCAACGCTAAATAATGACATTGCTTTTAAGTGCATCGAACTGAGAAAGTGACTCGGTAAGAAGAACGTGTGGTGAAATAGACAAATGAAATTATATAAACAGTTTATTTACTGTCATAACATATAAAAGCTCGCCTGTGTGAGATATCAACAAAACATTATGAAAATAGCTCACACCAAAGCCTTCACCGAGTATTCACCAGACAGCCCGCTTCCAAGTTGCGCGAACCTATTTCACTGCGCACGTGCTATGAGCGCAGTCCAGCTGTTGAAACCCGTATTCCCCAGAAAAGTCTGGGGAAAATTAGTGAAACGTTTGAATTCCGATTTCACGCGTTTTTTTTCATCGCGTTATTTTTCAACTTTATAAGTTGAATTTGCATTTTTGACGCTTTGTTTCGGTAAGTCCATACCGAAAGGTATCAGAATCTGCAAAGTTGTGTTTTACATTGTAAGAGTTAAGGACTGTTACGTCACAGTATTATCTGTACCTGTAAGAGTTAAGGACTGTTACGTCACAGTATTATCTGTACCTGCAAGAGTTAAGGACTGTTACGTCACAGTATTATCTGTACCTGTGAGAGTTAAGGACTGTTACGTCACAGTATTATCTGTACCTGCAAGAGTTAAGGACTGTTACGTCACAGTATTATCTGTACCTGTAAGAGTTAAGGACTGTTACGTCACAGTATTATCTGTACCTGCAAGAGTTAAGGACTGTTACATCACAGTATTATCTGTAAGAGTTAAGGACTGTTACGTCACAGTATTATCTGTACCTGCAAGAGTTAAGGACTGTTACGTCACAGTATTATCTGTACCTGCAAGAGTTAAGGACTGTTACGTCACAGTATTATCTGTACCTGTAAGAGTTAAGGACTGTTACGTCACAGTATTATCTGTACCTGCAAGAGTTAAGGACTGTTACGTCACAGTATTATCTGTAAGAGTTAAGGACTGTTACGTCACAGTATTATCTGTACCTGTAAGAGTTAAGGACTGTTACGTCACAGTATTATCTGTACCTGTAAGAGTTAAGGACCACAAGGTTGTCGTGTCACCATGATCAAACTGATACTTCAACTGTTTCTTAACAAATACATGTAAACAAACCAGTGGTTGATAGCAATGGTTCAACTGCGGTACACATAATCTACCTTAATGTCACCCCAGCCATGTCTTGTAACAAGCATGTGGTCCTTGGGACCTGCCACTTCCCAGTTATTGATGTACTTGTAGCAATGTCTATATTCCCATTTCAGGTGCTCAGGAAACAATTGTTACGCAGTTAAAAGATAAAAACACCTACGTACAATTGGACAAGCAACAATTCCATTTCAAAGATTTTGTGTTTGAAAGTGAGGAACTTGATGTGATTATTTTGGAACTTGATGTTCCTGAAGGACATCGGCTGCCTCCTTCTTTGCCTCTGATGTCACCCTCTCACCCTTTTGGTTGTATCTCGGCGTATTCACACAAAGTGACCATAATAGGCTATGATGGAGATGGGACAAAACTAGTAGACATTAGCTGTCTGACAATTCAAGTATCAAAAGAAGAATGCTGCCTGGCTCGTCAAGACCTGCAAAAGATGGGTTTCCATGACGACTGGTACAACGGTAAACCACACAATGGTAAATGGTACAATGACCTCGCCCACCCTCACCTTCTGCCTCTAAAAACCCACTTCGCACACGGTGCGTCTGGCTCTCCTGTGGTTGTACCGTACGAGGGGAAGCCATTGGTGATTGCAATGTTTATCAAGGGATATCCTGAATTCTACTGGGACCTTGAAGATAAATACAAAAGATGCATTGATGAAAAGTTCATCATCAAAGCAGCAGTAAAGCTCAGCATGTTCGGTAAGTACATAAGATATTTGACTTTGTTTCAGTCATAGCTAATGTCTAAGAATGCCAGCCATAATACTGTATGTAATCTTGTGTTCCAAAACTGATTTGATGTATTGGCAGGGCTCCAGATAACTTTTGGGGGTGCGAGTGTACTTACACATCATATTGCAAGTGGAGGTGTACTGAGAATTTTGAGGAGTACTGACATGTTTTTGTGTGAGCGAGTTGGTGATGTGGTTTGTCTGGACGAGTCATCGATCACTATTTCCAACCATGTTTTTGTATTTGAAGACGTGTGAGAAATAACTGAGCGACCTTGTGATGCGCGAAATGTCAGGTCTGACTGGATATAAATAGGAACAGTGTAGTTTTTAGCCAATCGAAAAATAGTGACGCATATCGTTGCATGGCAACGCAAGGGATTCCTACTGTCGGGGTTTCCTCGTGTCAAATCGTGTTTCGCAAAAGAAAGTTGACAAGTATTTATCCGAAATATATTTCCATTTGCACGATACGCACAGAAATTAAATGTTAGACGTACAAAGGTATTTATGTGCGTACACGATACTCTTGATCTTATATTATGTCATACTTAATTGATTTTGAGGCGTACATTACGCCTGTATGCCCCTTATCTGTAGCCCTGTATTGGGCTTTTACAATATTTAGTCCATGAAACAGATACAGTGACAACATCTCAGGATGTACTGATGCATCAACTTCCTGCCAAATAACTGCAATCAAATTATAATCTTGACTTCTTGTTTGCTTTGTGGTAAATAAATGCAGTAACAACCACCATGGTATAGATCAGCCTACCATGATTACAATTCCAGAAATCATGATTTAAAACAAGAAATTTTACAGAAAGAAAACCAAGACATTATCCAAGAAATATTCACAGAGCATGTTCTAAATGACTTTCAAAATGATAAAATTTTCATGTTATAATACATGATAATCTCAACAAGCAGTTCATCTTCTCATAAACAGACATGGATTTCATCGCGGATGACATCATGGATCGGTCATAAACACTTGAAGCCATGGATACTTCACAAGAAACAGTCTTGGAGAAAAGTGAGCCATAAATGTTTTTTGAATACACAATGCATTCGAGAAAGAGGTCAAATGTAACCTATGTTATACAAAGAATTATACCTGCATAGTAAAGTACACATTCAGGCTTTGAACCCATTCTCTCTGTGTCAGGCACCTAATTACCATTACAAGTACAGAACGTCAACAAGAAGGAACTAGAATCTGAGAAAGTGTAATCCCCAAACTATCATATATTACATCTGAATACTTTCTAAAAGGCACAGGTTATTCATAGCTTTTGGCGATGGGAGTCATGCCAGTTTACACTTGTCAGAGGGGTACACAAAGTATGTGAACTTGACTACCAGTTGTCAAACTTCCACTTAACCAAAGTAATGGTGGCTGAAGTGGGTTAGATTGCTCACTGTATGTGCTGGCCAATAGGTGCGTTACTCTGATAGTGTGGGTTAGAATTAAATACATATATTGTAATTTACCTGTATACCGATATATAATTACATCCATATTGTTTTCCTTACACAGAGAAAAGAGGCTGGACTGACGCTGATCAGGAGTGAAGGAAAGGAAGAGAGTTGTTATAGGGACTAATTCAGGACAGCCATCATCCAAAAATGTAAAAACTATGTACTCAAGACATGTGAGACTTTATTGTAATTATTTATATGATGCTAATCTGTATTCTAAGCAATCCTTATAACTTCTGCATTGTACATTGACTTGTCAGGCAATCAATTACTGTATATGACATTTATAACCTTTATTGGTCATCCCCCTTGGCCGTGCCTGCCATCGCATCAACTTGTCAAGGGTGTGCTATTGTTTTTCTACCTGTCAATTGTTGAGTCATCGCCTGTCAATTGTTGTAAAAAACTGTACATATACTTAGTATGCTCACATCTACACTGTGAAGGAGTACGAGTCCGGTATTCCGACTGAATGTGTAGGGACGTCCACAAGCGGGATAATGCTGCTCGTTGGAAACGCCCTTGGGTTGAGCAGGTACTCAGCTCACCTCACTTATGTCTTGTGTATTTGTTTCTCATGTACTAAAGACGTTTGAACTCAACTATGCCTTCGTCTTCATCAACGCACACTTCATCTTAACATGAGCTAATTCCCCAGTCGACGCATATCCACGCGTTGACAGAGTCATCAACTGTTTTTCTTTAATGAAAACATCATATTGAAAAAAATTGTATAGTTATAATACTTATCCTAACTCACAGTTTGTACTCTTTCTCTCATGATCGTCAGCTGAGTTGAAATGAACTTTAAACTGAGTTTTTGGCCTCTCTAGTACCATTTGCCCAAACACGCCCCACTGCTCCCATTGTAATATTTACAATAATATGATCCATATGCTTATCCTGACTGATACTGATTGTTATCTCATCTCATTTCCTAATGGCTTTACACTTCATCTGAAAGAATGCAATAATGCCATCAGTTCAGTCATGTTGGTGAGTTTAGAGCCATTTGCCATGGTGATGACAGAACTGATGGCTGCTAAATATGTGCCCAGCCTTGAACCATTGAGATGCTTCGTGGTTCTGAGGTGGCAAGGGAACTTTGCTGTAATCGGTTTGGCTCAAAAGCGGGCCAATGAATTGCAATCTAACTTGAAAACTGGTAAGCATATAATACTCAATGAAACGCCGATCATAATGAAAACATCAGACCATCAGAGTTTTTTGCAGAATTTATGTCCTAAGAATAAAAAAAGTTGTTTAACAAACTATCATTAAAATATTTACACAGATCAATATTTGGTACGAAGAAGGAGTCAAAGAGATGAACAGCCATTTGTGCGAGAAAGGATGGAAACGGTATAGCTCAGGTAAATGAATCAATAGCTTTGTCGTCACTTGTGCACGTGCTTCACGTATACCTGGCTGTTCCTCTCTTTCCACTCCTCCCTCGTAACAAATAGTGAACTGTGTCTAAATTTTAATGATAGTTTGTTAAACAACTTTTTTATTTTCAGGACATAAATTCTGCAAAAAATTTAACCAAACCTGTAGAGGTTTTCAATTCTTTGAAGAGAGTCGTCCTTGGGGTACATATATGCATTTTCTGCACTGAAAATGTCCTGTGACAGTTGTATCAATATTTTAATAAAAATATTGTACAATAAATAAAATCTTTTTTATCTATTATACGGCCCCCACCCCATGGAGTTACCTCCCGTTACGCATGCGCAGCCAACCAGTAAGCACCTAGGCCCGTATCATCATTCCTTCTGCTGAATAAATCAGTGAACAGAATTGCGGGGAGGCAGGCGGCCCTACCCCAAGGATGACTCTCTTCAAAGAATTGAAAACCTCTACAGGTTTGGTTAATTCTTTTTCATAGAGATCGTCCTTGGGGTACATATATGCATAAACACAGACTCCCAAAGACCGGAGGCCAGAGAGGAGGGAATTCTGTCAAAGTACACAAGAATAGCGATCGTTAAGAATAATGTAACAGATGCCACAACACTCACCTGTCACGTGTCCCGTAGCTTCCGCGAAAGGGGAGGGTAACCGACAGGGACGAAAGGTACTGAGAGTCGACCTCATAGGTTAAGCATAACAAAATCGCATGAAGTGTGAAAGTAAACAACCCCACCCACCTCATGGTCTATTAGAGAGCACTGTAGGGGGGAAAAACCAACTCACAACCGACCATAATCTCCGTACAGAAATGAAAGTTAGATCACACAACAGCGGACATATCAATAAAACACAATTGAAAGCAGCGTCAACTAAACCAGATAACCAAGACTCACTCGGTCAGGGTGGCAGGACACTGTCCACTGGAGAGAACAGAACAGCCAAAGCGCGCATGATCATGTGAATGTGTATCGAGCTGATAGTGCCTGATAAAAGTGCTAGGCCGGCTCCAAATAGCAGCAGAGCATATCTCTTCAATGGGTAGTGCCGATGCAAAAGCTTTTGACGTGGCTACTGACCTGACCGAGTGAGCCTTCAACCCCTCAGGGGGGAGGCTTGCCCTTAGCCTGATAAGCAGCACAAATGACCGAAACAAGCCAGCGAGACAGGGTCTGTTTGCTCGCCGGCACCCCAGCCTTCCCTCCACCGTAACAGCAGAACAGATGGGTACCCGTACGGATCCCCTGTGTTCGTTTGATATAGACCTTGAGAGTCTTTCGGACATCCAACGGGTGAGTGCTCGTAGGAGAGGTCCCCGATGTGGAAGGCTGGGTAAGAGTAGGAAGTTTGATAGGAGCTCTCACATGGAAAGCGTGATCGACCCTCGGGCGGTAAGTATCCGGGAGGCGAATACTGACACGATCTGGATGGAACACAGTCAGCGCCGGGTCTGCCGACATAGCATGTAAGTCGCCGACCCTACGCGCCCAGATGTTACCGCCACCAGAAATACAGCCTTCCATGTTAACAACTGAATGGAAATAGCCGATAGACGTGAGAACGTAGGACTGGACAGCCAATCTAGCACAATTGACAAATCCCACGGTGGGCTAGTTCGCCTGACAGCAGGTCGAACCCGTTCCACGCCAGCTAAAAAGTGCTGCATGAGAGGGTGCTGCCCCAGAAGAGCACCATCGACAGGGGTGTGAAAAGTGGAAATAGCGTTGGAGTAGCCACGAATGGTCGAAGCCGCCAGGCCTTCTTCCAAACGAGCTTGCAAAACCTCAATACTCGGACTAACTCCGCAGAAAAGTGATCTGCAATCCCCATATCTGAACACCAGCGCGCATAGCAGGACCACCTATCCTCATACTGAACGTTTGTTGAATCCCGCCTCGAAGCCAGAATTGTGTCTGCAACTGCTGCAGGAATTCCGCGTGCTTCGAGGCTCGACCTGACAGAGGCCAAGCCACCCACTGAATCCTTGGATTGGGGTATGGCGCGCCGTTCTGAGTGAGAATGTCCGGTCGCAAAGGTAATAGAACAGGAGGCTGAGCCAGAAACCTGAGAATTACCGGAAACCAGCTCTGTGACGGCCATAGCGGTGCTAGGAGCAGAAGAAGCTAACGCCCTCTGGTCCGGTATTCGAGAGCAGAACACGGGTATCTGAATCGTCCCGCCGGACGCAAACAGATCCACCTGGAACGATCCGTACAACTGGGAGATAACTCCGAATATCTGACGGTCAAGCATCCACTCGTGCGGGGCCAGGATCCGGCGAGAGAGAGCGTCTGCTCGCACGTTCTCCAGTCCCGGGAGATAAACAGGAAGCACCTGACAGTCGCACTGGTCGCACCAGAATAGAAATTCCCACGTCTCCCAAAGGAGCTCTAGGGACACCGTGCCGCCTTGCTTCAGGATGTACGTCATGGCCGTACGGTTGTCCAACTGAAGACGAACCACCTGGCCCTGAACATGCTCCCGGAAGCGCTCGAAAACCAACCGCACAGCTCTCAGTTCCAACACGTTGATGTGAAGGCGGGCTTGGGCTTCGGACCAGAGTCCGGACACAGACAGACTGCCCAGAACAACCCCCCAGCCCGTGACGGAGGCATCGGTTTGAACTGTAAGAGCTGGCGTCGGGAGTTCCAAAGGGATCCCCTTGAAGAGATTCCCGACATTGGTCCACCACTGAAGGTGAGGAGACAACCACCCGGGGACTGTGAGACTCCGCTCCAGGTCCTCCGAGTGAGCCCACAGACTCGCCAAAGCTTGCTGTATAGGGTGCATCCTCAACCGCGCCTGCCACACTACAGAGATAGTCGCCGCCATATGGCCCAGTAGACGGAGCAAAGTCCGCGCTGGTGCCTGGGGCTGGGAGAGGAACGAAGACACCATCTCCCGTACTCTGGTGACCCAGTTGGGCGACAAGGAGACAAGATCCTTGTGAGTTTGGAACTGCGCCCTGAGAAAAACCAAGTCCTGGGTGGGTACCAGGTCGGATTTCTTGAGGTTGATGATCCACCCCAGTCGAACTAGAATGTCTATCACTGTGTGAGTAGAATCTAGGCTCGCTGGCTGAGTTAGCGCGCTGAGCAACCAGTCGTCGAGGTAAGGGTAACAACGCCTTCCTTGCGATCGAGCGAGGGTAGCTGGCACTAACATGAGCTTGGTGAACACCCTGGGGGCAGTGGATATGCCGAAGGGGAGCACCGTGAATTGGTAATTCATCCCGTCATAAGAGAACCGGAGGTACTGCTTGAACGATGGATGAATAGGCACATGTAGATACGCATCCTTTAGATTAATCGACGTAAGCCAATCGCCGGGCTGAACAGAGGAGATCACCGAGCGAAGTGTCTCCATCTTGAAGGATGGAACCTCTAGCATGCAATTCAACCCCTTGAGGTTGAGAATGGGACAGAACCCGCCGTCTTTCTTTGGAACGAGGAAGTACATGGAATAAAATCCCGCCTATTCCTCGCCCGGTGGTATGCACTCTATTGCGGACTTGTCCGGCAAAGCCTGAACCTCGTCGCGCAGTATACCCGCCCTGACCTGACATGACGGCACGGGAGTGAGACGTATGCCAGTGAATTCTGGCGGGGCCTCGCTTCCACAGTGGTAGATGGCCGACACTGACGGTGGAAAGCACCCAAGTGTTGCTTGTAGCCTTCTCCCACTCCGGCAGGAATAGAGAGAGGCGGTCCCCCACTGGGATGTTTGGTAAGAGAGCATGAGTGGTCCCGAGTAGATGAACTGACCGGCAGACTCAGGTGTTGGCTGCACCCCGGAGCGTATGCTCCAACAAGGCCTTAGCATGACCGTATGACCTGCTGAGCCCCAGGAAACAACGTCGCTCCCAGACGGAAGGGAAGGGCCAGCAAGGTCTGCTGTGTAGCTGCCGAGTAGCGAGACGTCGACAGCCACAGCTTGCCCATCCCCATGACTGCGCACATCACCGTAGACCGCAAGGAGTCGCGCTAGGTGGGCCTGAACTTTGGATAGTTGGCGTAAGAGAACGACATGCGGGGAGAAGTCCCCAGCGTTCCCCTCAGCCTCCAGGGCAGACCTCTGAATAGAGGAGAGGTAGGCCTCGTGGATGACCACCCGCACCTGCTGCATGGCATTCCGATAGACCTCCTCATATGGTCCGGTAAGCCTGCCGCAGGGGAGCGCTCACAAGGGCAAA